CTCATTTTGAGCCTGGATCCAGATTTATTGTTGATTCTGTTCATGGTGGAGAATCCTGCTTCACAGCAGCAGGTTGGGTTGGGCTCCATCTAAATAGGTTTGATATTTTCAGATTTTTAGACAATCCATAAATTTGAACAGATAATAACTCCAAGAAGAACAGTGAATTTGGATAAGCTGAGTGATAATTGAGAGGAACAGGATGACAGAAGAAGAAAATTAATTCAAATATTAGATCAGAATGCTCCCTCTCAGCTAAAATACTTCTTTTCCCCTGATTGAACTGTTCTGCTCTTTTTTCTCCTCTAAGATAAATTTTTCTTGATTAAATTGATGATAAACCGCAAAAGATCACAATTTTTTTTTTTGCATTAACAGCTTCTGTATCGGTCATGTGACTTTGTGCAATACGTGTACCGATCCAGGGTTTTGCTGTTAGATCTCGACACGAGCGTCGATGCATCGGTGTTGCTGGACCCATCACTAGTAAACATTTGACATTTAAATACGACTTCCCTACCACTTCAAATGCATCTTGCACTTATTTACAGAACCAATTGTTTATTCCAAAAAGGTTAAATAAAACAATCCACTGGACTTTGTTTCTAAGTTTGAAGACATTTCACTTCCCATCCGGGAGCTGAAACTTCTTTAAAGTTGGAAACAAAGTCCAGTGGATTTTATTTTCTCCTTTCTTGGAATGACTATAACCTGGATGACTGAGAATCTTCTCCAACATACCAATTGTTTACATATACAAGTGCAATACTTTACTTTAACTGTAATATGAGATTACCTTCCAATGCACTTTAATTCAGAAAGCTTCTGTCCAAGTTTATATATATTTTATTGCATATCCTGCACTTGCTGCTATTGCACTTCTGGTTAGAGCTGAACTGCCTTGTTCCTGACAGTAAAGTTGGATCTATTCTGGTTTTAAAGGATACTGCTCCTCCATCAGCATCCTCTCTATCGCCTCTCTGTTCTCTGGGCTGATGGAGCTGTCCAGCTCCCAGGGCTGCAAACAGCAAAGATCATTAAATCACAGTCACACCATCAGATAAAAGGCGGGATTTCACGGTGGTTCACCAGCATCCAGGAGCTGCTTCTGTCCACTGGCTGGGCGAACTGCTCCTGAACTAACCCCGCCGCGTCCATCTCTCTGCAACAGAAAGGAAACAAACTCCAACAAACACTGAAAGGGTGAAAATAGTGAAACAGAACTCTCTCTGAAAGCACCAGCTGGACACGGCGGGGAAAAAACAAAGACTTCCTACCCTGCATTGCAGTTAAAATCGTCTCCCTCGATGTCAACATCCACTTCGTCCTCCATGTTGAAGAAAAAACGTAAACAGACGAGAAGCGGCTGGGAATAGAGTCCAGCTCAGCTCACAGCGCCATCTGGTGGACGGAGGACGGAACCTGATGCAAAACAACAGGAAGATCAGCCTAGTGGGGTAAGAAAATTAAGCCCTGAACCCAGAGGTTTTTTTATCAAGTTAAAAGAACTAGATTATTTCTTATATATTTCTTATTAATTCAGCCTGAATATGAATATTCAGGCTGAATTAATGTGAGAAATGTTCTGATCGATACAAAACCTAGGGGCTTTTTTTGCTTTTCCTTTGCTTTGAGTGCATTTATACGTTTAAGCCTGTGTGTTAAATGTTTACCAGAAGAAATATTTATTAAATCAAAATCTTTGTGCCCAATTCTTTTTTTTTACTCTTATATTGGGTAATCATTCCACATTTATAAGTTTGTTAAAGGTTATTTTTTTATATGAAGATAAAAGTAACTTCCAGTCGTAAGAGCAAATTTCGCCTAAAATTCCATATGTGAATTAAATCAACTACAGCTCCTAAACTATAAATTGGAAATACAATTGCTTGTATTTGTGTGACAGAAAGGATATTTTTCAAGTGGAACCACTATTTTAAATGTCACCATGTCTGATTTATAGATGATTAAACAAAAAAAAAGAAAAAAAGAAAAAATGATTTAGCCTCACCAAATTTTTTTCCAAAATAAACCCTGCAAAACATCATGAGAGCCCATTAGAAACTCTGGATGAACCATCATACTCTATAGATCCACATCTAGACTATAATTCAAGCAAATTAGGACTGAATAAGTTGAAGCATGTTTGTTCCACAAAGGTTTTAGTGGGCAGTGAGCTAGGAGGAAATGGGATTTTGGCACAGTGGCAAAAGTGCAAAAATGCATTTATTCATTCATAAAATGGAATCTGGTCAGAGAAACATGCTGATTTACATTAATGGAGACCTTCTGCATAAGAAAAAGCCTTTACTCCTATGATTTCAAACTGAATAGAAAATAAGAATAAAAGAGCAGCTTATGTAACGCATGCCGGTGACATCACCTGAAATGGTCGCACAATGACCTCTGACCCCTCCTTAGAAAGGCCTGAGCCTCTAGTTTCCAATGATGGCGGCCAATAGGGGCCACCATCATTGGAAAATGCCTGTTGCTGCATTACTCCAGCACAGTCACACGTCAGGTGTAATTTTAAATCTCATTTAATTTGTTTACACAGCTATAAAACAAAAAGAATTTGTGAACAAATAATTTTGAAACAGGTTTTACAAATTTTAAAGCTCCATTTGAAAGGCGTGTGGATGAAACACCATGTGACTGTGAGATTATAATAGATAAGCATTAGCAGGTGTCAGTCGAGCCCTGTACCAGGCCCACAGGCATTAAGAGGTTAAACAGCTATTTAAAAAGCCTTGAATGATTAGCTAAACACTCACAATTGATCTACACACACAAAAAACTACAGGTTTCACCCGGTTTTACTGACCCCTCTCTTATATCCTCTGAATTTCTCATCACATGATATCAATTGATATTATCAAGAGGGGCTGTGGAGTTTGTGTTTAAAATGAACAAATAAGACCAGAGCAGGACAGAGGAGGAGTAAAACCTGTTTTATTTTTTTCCGTATTGACTAACTAAAAACCTCTCGGAAACAGGGGCGCCATATTAGGGAGAAAGGTTAGGAAGATTCTAAGGGCCCTTGATTGAGGCGGGCCCAAAAAAAGAAGAAAAGATATGTTCCAATAGACATTTCAAACATAAAAATAAAACAGTTAAATCATTTTTGTGTTCTCCATCATCTTTAGCAGTAAACAGTGAAACAAATAAAAAATAAATTGACCAAGTTTTTTATCCACCAGTTTATGCAGTTTAAAGTTAATGTATATTTTTTCCTTTATAGAAATTTTACAATAAAATGTTAATCATATTCTTCATTGCATCTTGGTGGCAGTTTTAAAGCTTGCATACCTTTTTTTTTTTGGTGGGGGGGCCACATCAATGTCTTTCACGGGCCCCAAATTCCTCACGGCACCCCTGTTTGGGTACATATGGTTTCTGACCAGTGATGACATGTTTCTCCATAGACATTATATACACTGCTTAAAAAAGTTAAAGGAACACTTTGAAAACACAATAGATGTCATTTGGGTAAAAAAATTGAGCTGTTTATTTATCCCGATATGGACTGGGTGATGTGTTAGGAACAAAGGATGCCACATCATTGATGGAAATGAAAATGATCAACCTACAGAGGGCTGAATTCAAAGACACCCCAAAAATTAAAGTGAAAAAATGATGCAGCAGGCTAGTCCATTTAGCTGAAATTTAATTGCAGCAACTCAAAGTGGTATCCAGTAATTTGCATGGCCCACACGCGCGTGTATGCATGCCTGACAACGTCATGGTATGCTCCTAATGAGACGACAGATGGCGTCCTGGGGTATCTCCTCCCAGATCTGGACCAGGGCATCACTGAACTCCTTGACAGTCTGAGGTGCAACCTGGCGGCGTGGGATGGATGGAAACATAATGTCCCAGAGGTGTTCTATTGGATTTAGGTCAGGCGAGCGTGGGGGGGCCAATCAATGGTATCAATTCCTCCATCCTCCAGGAACTGCCACATACTCTCGCCACATGAGGCCGGGCATCGTCGTGCACCAGGAGGAACCCAGGACCCACTGCACCAGCATAGGGTCTGACAATGGGTGCAAGAATTTCATCCCGATCCCTAATGGCAGTCAGGGTGGTGTTGTCTAGCCTGTATAGGTCTGTGCGTCCCTCCATGGATATGCCTCCCCAGACCATCACTGACCCACCGCCAAACCGGTCATACTGAACAATGTTACAGGCAGCAGAACGTTCTCCCCGAGCTTCACGAGGAGACACGAGTCTGTCACATGTGCTCAGGGTGAACCTGCTCTCATCTGTGAA